TGAGTGGTACGCTCAGAGTGGAGGGTCGCTGAGTAGTGCTCGCTTCCCGTACGCTATTACCACGGGTGTCCGGACTGGTTAGACTTGCGACACGCGTAGTCACACAGAGTCCCGTTACTTCCCGCGTCTAAGGGACGCTTGGCGTAAAGAGTTTGGCGACAACGCTGAGCTCCCTAACTGGGTGGAGCTCCTTAGGTAGAGGGTAGATATCTTTGCTCTTGACTATGATGCTATTCTCACTGCAATGTATGCATTGTCTACTAGTGCCGAGGGAGTCTGTCACCTGTGTGTGCTGCCTGACCCCGGTATCCAGTCTGGTGCTCTAGGTGCTCGTGAGGCTGGTGCTCTAGGTGCTAGTGCGTCTACTGCCCCAGGTGCTGGTGAGTCTGCCCTCTCACGAACCACGTCGGCTCAGGCCTTACACACCTTCACCCTTGACTCGGGTGCTTCCCACTCCTTCTTTTGAGACCGCACCACGCTTACGCCGCTTAGTCGGCCGGTTGCGGTCTCCCTGGCGGACCCCTCTGGGGGTCCTGTCCTTGCTAGCTTCTCCACTGTCTTACCGTGCCCGACAGCCCCCTCTGGCACCCTGTCAGGTCTCTATCTCCCCTCGTTCTCTACGAACTTGGTAAGTGGAGCTGATCTACAGGATAGGGGGGTTGACTAGTTCAAACCTGCGAGTCAGCAGGTGACCCACTGCACGTGTGCTCGGACAGGCCGACACTTGGCCACGTTCACCCGTCTACCGGGGTCGAGCCTATACACACTTACTACTGAGTCTCCTCCGTCTGGTGAGTCTGGTCAGGTAACTGCGTTGAGTCAGGTGTTTGCTGCAGCATCCAGGTCTGGTCCTCAGGCTGCTTCCTACTCGTGTCGTCTTCTGTCCAACAAGACTCTCCTTTGGCACCACCGCCTTGGTCACCCCTCCCTGCCTCGTCTCCGAGGCATGGCCTCCTGTGTCCTTGTCTCTGGTCTCCCCCGGTTTCTCCCTCCCCTACCTCCGGGGCCTGCCCCTAACTGCGTCCCCTGCGTCGAGGGGCGACAGCGTGCCGCCCCTCACTCCTCCGAGTTTCCTCCGACAGAGGCTCCAGTGCAGACTCTTCACATGGACGTGTGGGGCCCGGCCCGCGTTTGTGGCTTGGGGTACAAGCGTTACTTCCTGTTGGTGGTTGACGACTACTCGTGTTACACCACACTCTTCCCCTTTGCGCAGCAAGGGTGATGTCACTGAGGTGTTGATCGACTGGATCCGCGTAGCTCGTCTCCAGCTCAGAGAGAGTTTCGGCTTGGACTTTCCTATTCTGCGTCTGCACTCTGACAGAGGCGGGGAGTTTTCCTCTGCCCGTCTGGGAGTATTCTTTCGTGCACGGGGCATCCGTTAGACCTTCACGCTTCTGGCCTCTCCACAGCAAAATGGGATTGCTGAGCGCCGCATTGGCATGGTCATGGACGTCGCTCGTACGTCCATGATCCATGCGGCTGCCCCCATTTTCTGTGGCCGTTTGCGGTTGAGTACGCAGCCCATCAGCTCAACCTTCAGCCCCGGGTCTCCTTGCCTGAGACCTCCCCCACCTTGCGGTGGACGGGGAAGGTTCGCGATGCGTCTGCGTTTCGGGTCTAGGGATCTCGGGCGTTTGTCCGCGACTTGTCTGCGGACAAGCTGTCCCCCCGTGCTGTTCCTTGCGTCTTCCGTGGCTTCCCCCCTGACGCGCCTGGGTGGCAGTTTTACCACCCCACCTCGCGCCGTGTTCTGTCCTCCCAGGACGTCACCTTTGACGAGTTGGTGCCTTACTACCGTCTCCTTTCCTACCGCACTGCGCCCCTCCCCCCACCACCGCTCTACCTTGCGCCGGGTCCTCCCCCGGTAGACCCCCTACACCTCAGGGTCCTGCCCCGTCAGGTGTGTCCAAGGTAGACGCAGTCGAGCCTCTCGAGGTAGCTGCTGACTCTGGTGCTGCTAGAGGTGCTGAGCCTGCGGGTGCCGGGTCTGGAGGTGCTGAGTCTGGGGGTGCTGAGTCTGGGGGTGCTGGGTCGGGGGGTGGTGAGCCTGGGGGTTCTGAGCCTGGGGGTGTGGAGCCTGGGGGCGCTGGGTTTGCTCATGTGGCTGCCGTCGGTGCTTCGTCGAGGCGGGAGCCACTCTCTCCATAGGAGCTGCGCGAGTGGTTTGCCCGCCGCTGGAGACGTTCTGCTCGAGCTGGAGGTACTAATGTTGCTACTTGTCTCAGAGGTGCTCGTACTGGCGGTCCTGGAGCTGCAGGGACTGGGGGTGCTGCTGGGGCTACTGGAGTTGGTCCTGCTGGAGCTGCTGGCGGTGCTGGTGCTGCTGCAGGTGGAGCTGCTGGGGGTGTTGGCGCTGGTGTTTCTACTAGCGCTGGTGCGTCTGGGGGTGCTGCTGAGACTACTGGAGCTCACGGTTCTACAGGAGTTGGTGCTGCTTGAGCGGGAGCTGCTCGGGGTGTTGGCGGTGGTGGTGCTACTGGCGCTAGTGCTTCTGAGGGTGATGGAGTTGGCGCTGGTGGAGCTGGAGTTGCTGCTGGTGCTAGTGCTACCGCTGGGGAAAGTGGTGCTGTCCTTGAAGGTTCTAGAGGCGCTGCGCGGCCAAGGCCGTACTTCGTTCCGCTCCTGGAGTAGGTTCTTGGTCTCCCGCCCTCTGTGGTCCTGCTCCTCTCTTAGAGTGTCCACAGTCTGTCCAGTCACAGTCACAGTTACAGCCCTCCTCCCCTCTACCTGCTCCTTCTCCCTACACTGGTCCTACTCGAGGTCTTGCTGAGCTTCATGAGCCTGCGTCTCGTCCTGCGTCACCAGTTTGTAATGCTCGCACTAGTGGTCGTACTGCGCGTCCTCCTCCTCCTACGGTCCCCGACACACACCGGATTGGGCTGCGTCCTTCCACTGCTCCTCTGCGTGTCCCGTTGCCGTCTCCTCCAGAGTCCTCTCTTCCTACACTTGCTGACCCGGAGTATGATTCTCTTCGTGCTGCCAGTCCTACTATCATGCGTCTCCTGGCTACTGTTGTCACTGACCCTTCCTTTGAGTCCACTGCTGCGTTTGCCCTAGTTGCTGAGCTTGTCGACTTTGCTGCTCGCTGTCGTCTAGACTACGCTGCTAGTCTTGTTGCTGAGTCTGAGTCTGTCTGTCCTCCGTCCGTCGGGGGTGAGTGTGCTCTTAGCACGGACGTCCTTGAGGACAAGCAGGAATAGTTTTAGTGCTTTGCTGCTGCTTTGCCCCATCTCGTGTCCACGCTGATTGCCCCTGAGGGAGACCCGGATGCACCAGACATCCCAACTCCTCAATCGTACGCTGAGGCGATCGAGGGTCCCTACTCCTCTTAGTGGCAGTCGGCCATGGACGCAGAGATGGCTTCCTGGAAGTCCACAGGCACCTACGTTGATGAGGTTCACCCACCTGGGCGAACATCGTCAGTGGCCTGTGGATCTTCAGGGTGAAGCGGCCGCCGGGTTCTCCGCCTGTCTTCAAGGCGCGTTACGTGGCTCGAGGCTCCAGTCAGTGGCACGGAGTTGACTACTTTCAGACCTTCTCTCCCACCCCGAAGATGACCACTCTTCGGGTGCTGCTACACATTGCCACTCAGCGCGACTACGAGCTTCACTCTCTTGACTTCAGCACTGCTTTCCTACAGGGCAGCTTTCACGAGGAGATCTGGCTGCCCCGCCCGCCAAGCTTGACTGGGTCGTTTCCCTCTGGTACTCACTGGAGCCTCCGGCGGCCAGTCTACGGTCTCCGCCAGGCGCCCCGTGAGTGGCACGACACAATGAGGACTACACTTGCGGCTCTTGGGCTTGCTCCTTCTACTGCCGACCCGTCGCTGTTTTTGCGCACCGACACCTCTTTGCCCCCGTTCTACATCCTCGTGTACGTCGAGGACTTGGTCTTTGCCACTGCTGACACTGCTGGACTCGCCCACGTGATGTCCGAGCTGTAGAAGAGACACACGTGCACAGACCTAGGTGAACTGCGCAGCTATGTTGGCTTGCAGATCACCCGAGACAGAGCATAGCGCACCATTACCCTAACTCAGTCACACATGGTGCAGCAAGTCCTTCAGCGCTTCGGCTTCACGTACTCCTCGCCTCAGGCCACTCCTCTGTCTACTCGCCACTCGCTCTCAGCTCTGCCTTCGGATGAGTCTGTAGAGTCGAGTGGCCCGTACCCAGAGCTTGTTGGCTACCTCATGTACCTGATGACTTGCAAACGACCTGACCTTGCATACCCTCTTAACATCTTGGCACGCTATGGTGCTCATGGGAGACACCGACCAGAGCACATGGCTGCAACGAAGAGGGTGTTGCGCTACGTGTGCACTACGTCGGGCATGGGGCTAGTGCTTGGAGGGCGACATCGAGTGGTCCTCACAGGTTATGAAGACGCTTCTTGGGCTAACGACCAGGCTACGCAGCGGTCGTCACAGGGTTACACCTTCAGCCTTGGTTTTGGCTCTATTTTGTGGCGGTCTACCTGTTTGTCTTGTGTTCTCGGCTCCAGATGTAAGGCCGAGATCTACGCGGGGGCCATGGCTGCACAGGAGTTGCGTTGGCTCACCTACCTGTTGATTGACCTAAGAGAGCCGCCTCGTTCTCCTCCAGTTCTGTACGTAGACAACAAGGCCATGCTGGCCTTTGTGTCGGGAGCACAGACTGGAGCACAGAACAAAGCACATTGCTCTTCGCTACTTCCTTGCTCGTGAGCTGCAGCAGCGTGGTCAGCTGCGCCTTGCTTACGTGGCCTCCCAGGCCAACGCTGCTGATATCTTTACCAAGGCACTTCCGCCCGGTCATCATAAGCGATTCTGTACGTTGCTAGGTCTTGTGCCTACTTGGCCCCACTTGTACCCTTCTGTTTCCTAGTGCATTCATTCCTCATTTCTTCACACTTTTGACTGGGTCTGGGTCGATTATCTACAACTTTTCCTACAGTGCAATAGGAAGGACGTCTGTCCCTTTTCGATCTCACGTCTGGCGCCTCTACTGCCCCTGCTGCCGATGCTCACAGCACTATTCGCTCACAGTGGGCCACACGCGATGCTGCTGCCCGTCTTGCTGTGCGTAGTCACTTGCCGTCCACTGAGCGCGCGCACTTTAGTCAGTACAAGAGTTCTAAGACCTTGTACGATCCTGTAGTTGCACGCTACTCTTCCCTTGCCATTGCTGCCCTTAGCCGCCTCATGTTGCCGAACCTGTTTCGTGACCTCGCCGCCTTTCCCACTGTCGCTGACCTCGTTACGCACCTTCGCACTACTCACATTCGCTACCGCGTTGCGATTCCTGCTGAGTTCTGCTCCAAGAACCCCCCCCCCCCCCCCCCCCCCCCTTGTACATCACCCTCTACTATATAGTCACCCGGCTCACGGACTCCCTTCGCTCGGTCAGGGCCCACTTCCTCTCTGTTTGCCCCACCACACTTTCCGTTGACCTCCTCGAGGAGCGCCTCCTGGCAGTTGAGAAGAGTATAGTCGCTGTAGGAGCCTCTCGAGGTGACCCTCGTGCCCCTGTCTTTGAGGGTGCTCACCCTCCCGCCTTTTGCCCTCTGTTGCCTCTGCTGCTGCCGTCGACTTCGTTGGCACTGAGTCGCTCAGCGCTGCGTCTGCCCCTAGCGGGAGACGCCGCACCAGCAAGGGCAAGGGGGGCAAGGGCATTGGAGGGGCTGGCCAAGGCGGTGGAGCTGGCGGTGGAGGCGGCGGAAGGAGTGGGGGTGGTGGCGGGGGTGGGGGCTTCGGTGGCGGCGGTGGCGGCGGAGGCGGCGGCAACGGTGGCGGTGGGAGCGAAGGAGGAGGCGGTAGCGGCGGTGGCAGAGGTGGTGGCAGACGAGGTAGAGCTAGTCGGGGTTGCTCTGCGCAGTGGGGCGACTTCAGTGGTGGTCAGCGCCAGCAGCAGCAGCGCACTCGTGAGACACCGCCCCCCCAGAAGCTTCGTGAATGGTACGCTTTGCATTAGCGGGGTGGGGGTACTGGTCCCTGTACCTACCTCCTGTGTACCATCGACCATACGGGTGATCAGTGCGGGGGCCCGCACCCCACCTAGCGCTGCTTCGGCCGCCTGATGGACGCCTGGCGTCTTCATTTCCCTGACGCCACTGAGATCTCTCGCTGGGGCGAGCTGCTTAGGTCGGGGGTTGCTATCTTTGATCTTGATTATGATGCTATTCTTGCTGCCATGTATGCTGTGTCTACTAGTGATGAGGGTGACTGTTACCTGTGTTACGCCTTACCCGGGCATTGAGGCTGCTGCTCTAGGTGCTGGTGAGACTGCTGCTCTAGGTGCTAGTGCGTCTGCTGCCCCGGGTACTGGTGAGTCTGCTCTCTAAGGTACCACGTCGGCTCAGGCCTTACACACCTTCACCCTTGACTCGGGTGCTTCCCGCTCCTTCTTTTGAGACCGCACTACGCTTACGCCGCTTAGTCGGCCGGTTGCAGTCTCCCTAGCGGACCCCTCATGGGGTCCTGTCCTTGCTCGCTTCTCCAGTGTCTTACCGTGCCCGGCAGCCCCCTCTGGCACCCTGTCAGGTCTCTATCTCCCCTCGTTCTCTACAAACTTGGTGAGTGGTGCTGATCTACAAGATGGGGGGTTGACCAGTTCACTCCTGCGAGTCAGCGGGTGACCCACTGTATGTGTGCTCGGACGGGCCGACACTTGGCCACGTTTACCCGTCAGCCGGGGTCAAGCCTGTACACACTGCGGAGATAACTGCAGCAACGGGAGCTAGGCTACGGGCTAGGCACGTGTGCTCGTGTGATATCTGCGTTCTCTGTTCCTTAGTCGTTTTCCTTGTGCACACACTACTTGCTAGTTCACGGGGAAAGTTGGCAAGAGTTTCACTAGGAAAAGTTCAGAACAATGGTACAATGAAGTTGGCATAGCAAGACTACATCAGAGCTAGCATTCAGGTTGGTCGACTGCCAGCACAGCATGGTCGACCGCGTTCCAGCAGTGCAAAGTCGACAGCTTGCCAACGCTGCAGGTTGACGGTGTGCCAGCATTGCTCACGCAGGACAGCAGTGCACCCGCTTTGCAGGTGCGCGCAGATGATTGGCATGCAAAGTTTTGTCATCTGCACAGCGCACACACCAGGTCAACCTCGGGCTAGCGACTGCCTCTGATCCGCCACGACGACCTCGGGATACCACCATGGAGGTCGGTCTCGCCAACTTCGCCTGGGTGACCGTCGCACTCCTTCGCAGAACCTTGTCACCCAGGTATCCTGGTCGACCGGGCAACTATGTCGACCAGCTGCTCCTGTATGTGCTCGTCGACCTCCCAAGTCGACAACCACACCAAGTCGACCTCACCAGGTCGACCACTCCTCTGGTCGACCAGCTCCAGGTCAACGTCACTCCTGGTCGACCAGTGCAGTTGTCAGCCGACCACCCAAGTCGGCTACCCAAAGTCGGCGTCACCAGGTCGACGCCCCTTCTACGTCGGCGCCGACTTCCAGGCTGACCTCTCGAAGTCGGCGCCGACTTGCAAGTCGGTGACCTTGCAAGTCGGTGACCTTGCAAGTCGGTGACCTTGCAAGTCGGTGACCTTGCAAGTCGGTGACCTTGCAAGTCGGTGACCTTGCAAGTCGGTGACCTTGCAAGTCGGTGACCTGGCAAGTCGGTGACCTTGCAAGTCGGTGCCGGCTTCCCAAGTCGGCGGCATTGCAGTGGCGCCGTGCAAGTCGACCAACCCCGTCGACCAGCTCGTCCAAGTCGGCGTCCCCACTGCTGCAAGTCGGCTGTACCTTCCGTACACCCCACCACAAAGTCGGCTCCGCCCAAGCGTGGACGGGGCCAACACACAACTCCCGTTGACACACACTGACTACTGAGTCTCCTCCGGTTACTGAGTCTGATCACACTGACTGCAGCGTCCAGGTCTGGTCCTGAGTCTGCTCCCTGCTCGTGTCGTCTCCTGTCCCACCACACTCTCCTTTGGCACCACCGCCTTGGTCACCCCTCCTTGCCTCGTCTCGGAGGCAAGGCCTCACGTGTCCTTGTCTCTGGTCTCCCCCGGTCCCTCCCTTCCCTCCCTCCAGGGCCTGCCCCTACATGCGTTCCCTGCATCGAAGGGCGGCAGCGCGCCGCCCCTCACTCCTCCGAGTTTCCTTCGACAGAGGCTCCGCTGCAGACTCTTCACATGGACGTGTGGGGCCCTGCCCGCGTCCGTGGCCAGGGTCACGAGCGTTAATTCCTATTGGTGGTTGACGACTACTCGCGTTACACCACGGTGTTCCCCTGAGGGTGACGTCACTGAGGTGTTGATCGACTAGATCCGCGCAGCTCGCCTCCAGCTCAGAGGGAGTTTCGGCTCAAACTTTCCTGTTCTGCGTCTGCACTCTGACAGAGGCGGGGAGTTTTCCTCTGCCCTTATAGGAGCCTTCTGTCGTGCACAGGGCATCCACCAGACCTTCACGCTTCCGGCCTCTCCACAGCAAAATGGGATTGCTAAGTGCCGGGGTGGCATGGTCATGGACGTCGCTCGTACGTCTATGATCCATGCGGCTGCCCCCCATTTCTGTGGCCATTTGCAATTTGGTACGCAGCGCATCAGATCAACCTTCAGCCCCGGGTCTCCTTGCCGGAGACCTCCCCCACCTTACGGTAGATGGAAAAGGTTGAAGATGCGTCTGCGTCTCGTGTCTGGGGATCTCGGGCGTTTGTCCGCGACTTGTCTGCGGAAAAGCTGTCCCTCCGTGCGATTCCCTGCGTCTTACTTGGCTTCCCCCCTGACGCGCCTGGGTGGCAGTTTTACCACCCCACCTCGCGCCGTGTTCTAACCTCCCAGGATGTCACGTATGACAAATCTTCCCCTACCGCAGTGCACCCCTCCCCCCGCCACCGCTCTTCCTTGCGCCAGGTCCTCCCCCCGGTAGACCCTCTCCCCCCTCACGGTCCTGCCCCGTAAGGTGTGTCCCAAGAAGACGCAGACGAGCCTGTCGAAGTAGCTATTGACTCTGATGCTGCTAGGGGTGCTGGGCCTTGGGGTGCCGAGTCTGGGGGTACTGAGCCTGGGGGTGGTGAGCCTGGTTGTGCTGAGCCTGGGGGTGCGGAGCCTAGGGGTGCTGAGCCTGCGGGTGCTGAGCCTGGGGGTGCGGAGCCTGAGGGTGCTGGGTCTGCTCGTGTGGCCTCTGGCGGTGCTGGGTTTGGGACCCCTTCGGGTGCTTCGTCGAGGTGAGAGCCACCCTCTCCACAGGAGTTGCGCGAGTGGTTTGCCCGGCGCTGGAGTCGTGCTGCTGGAGCTGGAGGTGCTGCTCTTACTACTGACCCTGGGGTTGGCACTGGAGTTACTGGAGCCATTGGTCTTGGAGGTACTCGTATAGGTGGTACTAGAGCTGCTGGGCCTGGGGGTGCAGCTGACAGTCTTGTTGGAGTTGGTGCTGCTGGAGCTGGAGCAGCTAGAGCTGGAGCTGCTGGGGGTGTTGGCGCTGGAGGTTCTGCTGGTGCGTCTTAGGGTGCTGGAGTTGGCGCTGTTGGAATTGGAGGTGCTGATGGCGCTAGTGCTGCCGGTGAGGGTACTGGTACTCTCCCTGCTAGTTCTGGAGGTGCTGCGCGGCCGCGGCCGTACTTCGTTCCGCTCCTTGACCACGTTCTTAGTTTCCCCCCCTCTACTGGTCCTGCTCCTCCTTTAGAGTGTCCACACCCTGTCAAGTCGCGGTCACAGTTACAGCCCGCCTCCCCCCTACCTGCTCCTTCTCCGTACACTGGTCGTACTGGAGGTCTTGCTGAGCGTCGTGAGCCTGCGTCTCGTCTTGTGTCGCCTATTCGTACTACTAGCACTAGTAGTCATGCTCCGCGTCCGCGTCCTCCTACGGTCCCAGCCACACACCAGATGGCACTGCGTCCTTCCACTAATCCTCTGCGTGTCCCGTTGCCGTCTCCTCCAGAGTCCTCTCTTCCTCTCCTTACTGACCCGGAGTCTGACTCTTGTCGTGCTGCCAGTCCTACTGTCACGCGTCTCCTGGCTACTGTTGTCACTGACCCATCCTTTGAGTCCACTGTTGTGTCTGCCTTGGTCGCTGAGCTTGTTGACTTTGCTGCTCGCTGTCGTTTAGACTACGCTGCTAGTCTTGTTGCTGAATCCGAGTCTGTCTGTCCTCCGTCCGTCGGGGGTGAGTGTGCTCTTAGCACGGACGTTCTTGAGGACAGGCAGGAGGAGTTCCAGTGTTTTGCTGCTGCTTTGCCTCATCTTGTGTCCACCCTGATTGCCCCTGAGGGAGACCCGGATGCACCAGACATCCCGACTCCTCGATCGTACGCTGGGGCGATCGAGGGTCCCTACTCCTCACAGTGCCAGTCAGCCATGGACGCAGAGATGGCTTCGTGGAAGTCCACATGCACCTACGTTGACGAGGTTCCCCCACCTGGGGCGAACATCGTTAGTGGCATGTGGATTTTCAGGGTGAAGCGGCCGTCGGGTTATCCGCCTGTCTTCAAAGCGCGTTACGTGGCGTCTTCAGTTAGCAGCAGAGAGTTGACTACTTTCAGACCTTTTCTCCCACCCCGAAGATGACCACTCTTTGGGTGACCCCGAAGATGAGTTGCTACACATAGCCGCTCAGCGGGACTACGAGCTCCACTCTCTTGACTTCAGCACAGCTTTCCTGCATGGCAGCTTGCATGAGGAGATCTGGCTGCGTTGCCCACCTGGCTTCACTGGGTCGTTTCCTCCTGGTACCCAGTGGAGCCTCCGGCGGCCACTCTACGGTCTCCGCCAGGCGCCCCGTGAGTGGCACGACACACTGAGGACTACATTGCGGCTCTTGGGTTTGCTCCTTCTACAGCCGACCCGTCGCTGTTTCTACGCACCGACACCTCTTTGCCGCCGTTCTACATCCTTGTGTACGTCGACGACTTGGTCTTTGCCACTGGTGAAACTGTTGGACTCGCCTACATGAAGTCCCAGCTTCAGAAGAGACATACGTGCACTGACCTGGGTGAACTGCGCAGCTACCTTGGCTTGGAGATCACCCGGGACAAAGCACAGCACACCATTACCCTGACTCAGTCACACATGGTGCAGTAGGTCCTTCAGCGCTTCGACTTCACGTACTCCTCGCCTCAGGCCACTCCTCTGTCTACTCGCCACTCGCTCTCAGCTCTCCCTTTGGATGAGTCGGTAGAGCCAAGTGGCCCGTACCCAGAGCTTGTTGGCTGCCTCATGTACATGATGACCTGCACTCGACCTGACCTTGCATACCCTCTTAGCATCTTGGCACGCTATTTTGCTCCTGGGAGACACCGACCAGAACACATGGTTGCAGCGAAGAGGGTGTTCCGCTACTTGTGCAGCACGTCGGGCATGGGGCTAGTGCTTGGAGGGCAGAGT